TGGCTTTGTAATACCATCTTCAAAAACAGTGCATTATTTATTGTTATCTCTTGTACTCTGCAGGTAGAGCTGTTTTCACTACAAAAAACTTTCATAGTGGGGAGTTTTTACTCCATTACCATGGGGAATTAATAGATAAAGCAGAGGCAGAAGAAAGAGAAAGATTTGAAGAAACCGGATTCAGATATTTCTTCAAGTACAGAGGGAAGAATCTGTGGTAAGTGTTTTAAAGGTATTGCACCGTGTTGGTAAAAGTCGAAGAGGTAAAATTAGATTTCCTTAATTTTATAGTTTTTGGATACACTTATGAGGGTAGAACGCACCCCCGCCAAAAAAAAATCGCTCTGAAATGCCTGTATTTTCGAGAAATCGCGTGTTTAGTGTTGATTTTGGTTATTTATCTGGTACTCGATAAATACGGCTAATTCGCTTGATGTTGAATATCTCATGGATAAAATTGTTTCTGATCTTACTGTTATAATGTAATGATGAGGCTCAGACAGTCATTTGTAAGCTTGGTAGTAGCAACTATTTAAAGGCAGTCACGCAGGGGATTTCCTGATTAATTTCAGCCGCAGATGGCGACACACAAGTACGGTCACGAAGCTGTTTACCGAGCGGAATTGTACGTGCGCGGGTGTCCAGTTTCTGTACGTGCGTATGCGCACCATTCTCAGTCATATCATGTCACTGCACTGTCAGTGTCAGTATCAGACCTGCAAAACAGTCTGTCTGATCTGTCCTGACACTCTAAATTTGCTCAAGTCAAATTTTCAGTTTCAAAATCAAAGTGTCCAGGGCTGTCAGTATCACTGCAGCGAGTGTCAGCAGGTCAGTGTCCCTGTCAGTGTCACTGCAGCGAGTGTCAGCAGGTCAGTGTCCCTGTCAGTGTCACTGCAGCGAGTGTCAGCAGGTCGAGTGTCACTGCATTGCAAAAATACATCAAAGACCAAGCTTTGTGCGCAAGATAGCAAATATAATTCAAACTTAACGTTCTAATAAAGCCTCTAGAGACGATCGGATATATAATAAAACAATTACCGGTGACGAGATCTCGATAAAGACAAACACCAAAATTTACACCGCACATGAAAGTAGACGTGCAATCGCGATCGCAGGTTGCAGCATACAGCATGCAGCAGTAATTTTCGGTCTTGTTTACGTTTGGTAGTATAAAGCGCGGCCGAGTACAACAGCTGTTCAATTCAGTAGTATACTATAACTAGACCCTCTATAAGAATCCAGATTATAAATCTACTAACTAATTTATAGCTTATACAGTATATTATTAGAATGTGAAAAAAAATAACTGTGCGGTAACAATGTAGTATATTTTCTTTGCTTTTTTAAGATGCAATTGACAACACAAGAAACATACACAGATTGCGATATTGCGCAATGTGCACGTTTCTTTCGTGCGTACGTAATGTGAGCTGATCGCTGAGACAGCTCGAGCGGGGATAGCGAGCTGGCGATTCCTATGCACACGGTTTGATTTCTATATCGTGCGTCTGTGTGTGTGCGTCGCTCGGAAGAGTTCGGACGGCCATGTTTGAAATTGGGTGCTGCGGGAAAGACGACCACTTTGGTGTTCGCTTGCCCCTCGAGCACGCGTAGTTTGCATTAGGCGAAACGGTTTCACAAGGGAGTTGGACGGCGTCAGCGTACATGACATTTCTCGTGGCCAATGAAATCGCTCGCCACGCGTGTAAGTCTTTAATATGTGGTTCCATGTTGAAAGAACCAAACAACACACTCCCTGTGTCCTGACCTGGGTATGACTCATAGGTCATGACACAATAACATAAACATTGGCTAGTCTTTGTTCAGGCTTATCATTACAAAGACTTTACAAACAGATATCACGACACTTTCACAGGTAAGGTTCTATTCATGTTGATACATCACAAAATAAAGGAAAGTTGGGAAATTTTCAAAGGACAACACTGTTTTTAAAGGGAAAAACAAATTTGTCTGGCCGGACAGATATCGCCGACTGTAGTTGTCCTTTTCTAGCTTCCAATGCTATTTGAAGAAAATTAGGAATCAATTTGGTCTTAGGTCATCTAGATGGACCAAGGAAAACATTTCCACCAAATCCATGACCTTGACCAACACTGTGTATTACCTTTAAGAATTTAATTTCTGTCCAAATTAAGAAATATGATTATATTAGTTATAAAGAAGCATCAAATGCTGGCATGTTGATTGATCTCCGATGAATTAAATCCAGATTTGTGGTTTATGATGTTCTCTATGATGGATGTCAACCACACCAACTTTGGCAGCAAGAAAAAACAAGTATGAAATGGGTGTGCAATTATCATAGATGTCCTCTAACCCTTTAAAAAGTCAACAGATCCCAACTAACCCAGGAAGGGGGATAGGTAGAAATAGTTGAGAGGTTGTCTTTAAAGATGAGTAATCTCTCACCTAAACACTGAATAATATACTATATATAAAATAATAGATACATGTAGCTCAAATGTATGGTTCTCTAAACAAGAATGAATTAGATTACATTTTTCTTTAAAAACTTTTTTTTTATAAACAGAACAGGGTTCTTAATTATGGGTCAGGGAATTTGAAATACTTTTTCAAACAGCAAAATGTCAATGAAAGTCATGGAATTCATTAATACTTCTGGAAAGTTGGGGGAAAATCATTTGTTCAAGATATTATTTAATATTCTAACCTTATATTTATTTGTATAATTAACAGAGGGAATTAAAAAAAAAAATGTATGCTTTCATGTCAGATCAGTTTGTATCATATTCCACAATTACACTTCCCTGACCAGCCCTTCTATTACATGTATTTTATTATTTTGTGTACTTGTAGTACTGATACTAGCAAGCTCCCCTCACAACTAAGTATAAGTGTGTATGACTGACGACATACATGTACATGTACACTCTAGGCCTGGGAATGAATACCAAATTTGCTATTCAAATATTTATGGAAAAAGTATTTGAATAGTCCAAATATTTGTGGTATGAGCCCAAAGTGCAACACCCAGTGAAGTGGTCGAAGGTTGGCCATGACCGATATGCCCCCACAGACTCATGTCGAGCTGCAAAATGCAAGACAAATATTATATCACTATGTGGCTCTTTTGTCTGATTTATTTTCTGTGATATATTACTTTTGATGTTTTTATTTTTTTTTAATAACTATTAACATATATTCATATATGAAATCACTACGGTATTCATTGTTAAACAAATATATTTGAATAGTAGAAATTGTGGTATTTGATTTCTGATTAGTACTATAGTGAGCTATTTAAATAATTCAAATATTCAAATATTCCCAGGCCTAATACACTCTAGTTCTGAGGGGAGCTAGCTACATGCAGTATTGCATTGATACACATGAAATGGTCATAGAAATTTGGAGTTTGCTGCTTGGGAAAGTCATGAAAATTTAGGGCATTTGAAAATATGTAAGTGGAAGAATAATCCTCACAGAAATTTAAGGATCCAATCTAATCCAATCCAAGTATTATAGAGTGCCAATATCTAGTTGTTTTCTAATCAAGTAATTATCTCCGATCTTTCTAACATTATTTGAAATACAATATATGGATTCAAAATTCTTTCATTTGTAATTTTACAGTGTTGATGCGACAATGGAGCCATGCAAGAAGGAGCCTGTGTTGGCACGACTCGTGAACCATGCAACAGGTCAAAAGGCCAACTGTAGGATGAAAGTGATTGAAATTACGGGGAAACCCGCACTATGTCTGTTCGCCACAAAAGACATGAAGAGCAATATGGAATTATTGTATGACTACTCGCTGCCAAAAGATTTCAAGTTCCCAGAACCCTATTATTCGGATCTAATAAAGCAAGCGAGCACATGGGGAAATGCATGTAAGGAGAAGATGCCTCAGGAAGTAAACACAGTAAACACAGAAGACCAAGGGATGCCTGAACAAGTCAACACAGCGGACCAAGGGATGCCTGAACAAGTTAACACAGAGAACCAAGGGATGCCTGAACAAGTCAACACAGCGGACCAAGGGATGCCTGAACAAGTCAACACAGAGAACCAAGGGATGCCTGAACAAGTCAACACAGCGGACCAAGGGATGCCTGAACAAGTCAACACAGCGGACCAAGGGATGCCTGAACAAGTCAACACAGAGAACCAAGGGATGCCTGAACAAGTCAACACAGAGAACCAAGGGATGCCTGAACAAGTCAACACAGCGGACCAAGGGATGCCTGAACAAGTTAACACAGAGAACCAAGCGATGCCTGAACAAGTCAACACAGAGAACCAAGGGATGCCTGAACAAGTCAACACAGAGAACCAAGGGATGCCTGAACAAGTTAACACAGCGGACCAAGGGATGCCTGAACAAGTCAACACAGAGAACCAAGGGATGCCTGAACAAGTTAACACAGAGAACCAAGGGATGCCTGAACAAGTTAACACAGAGAACCAAGGGATGCCTGAACAAGTCAACACAGCGGACCAAGGGATGCCTGAACAAGTCAACACAGAGAACCAAGGGATGCCTGAACAAGTCAACACAGCGGACCAAGGGATGCCTGAACAAGTCAACACAGCGGACCAAGGGATGCCTGAACAAGTTAACACAGAGAACCAAGGGATGCCTGAACAAGTCAACACAGAGAACCAAGGGATGCCTGAACAAGTCAACACAGCGGACCAAGGGATGCCTGAACAAGTTAACACAGAGAACCAAGCGATGCCTGAACAAGTCAACACAGAGAACCAAGGGATGCCTGAACAAGTCAACACAGAGAACCAAGGGATGCCTGAACAAGTCAACACAGAGAACCAAGGGATGCCTGAACAAGTCAACACAGCAGACCAAGGGATGCCTGAACAAGTCAACACAGATAACCAAGGGATGCCTGAACTAGTCAACACAGAGAACCAAGGGATGCCTGAACAAGTCAACACAGAGAACCAAGGGATGCCTGAACTAGTCAACACAGAGAACCAAGCGATGCCTGAACAAGTCAACACAGAGAACCAAGGGATGCCTGAACAAGTCAACACAGATAACCAAGGGATGCCTGAACAAGTTAACACAGAGAACCAAGGGATGCCTGAACAAGTTAACGCAGAGGAACCAGAGGTGCCTCAAGGAATATATACACAGGAACAAGAGATGTCTCAGCAAGTATACACAGAGGGCAGCTCACCTTACACATATGACCAATCAGATGATGATTCAGACTATGTTCCAGATTCCTATTCAGAATCTGAATCTGAAACTGATGATTTTCCTGCAGATGTAGTCTGTAATAAGATTGGTAAGAGAAAGATCCAGTCCCATGAAAGAGCTTTAAAATCAAAGAGACCAGGCATTGAAATTTCCAATTGGTCTAAAGCAGGCATTGCATGTAAAGAGAGGATGCCTCAGCAAGTAATCATACAGGACCGAGAGATGCCTGAACAAGTAAACACAGCGGAACAAGAGATGCCTGAGCAAGTAAACACAGAGGACCAAGGGATTCCTGAACAAGTAAACACAGCGGAACAAGAGATGCCTGAACAAGTAAACACACAGGACCAAGAGATGCATGAACAAGTAAACACACAGGACCAAGAGATGCGTGAACAAGTAAACACACAGGACCAAGAGATACCTACATGTAGGCCAGTAAACATACCAGGTCAAGGTTCTCTTGCATGTGGTACATACAAGAAACCTTACCGTTATTGCATATTCTGCAAAAGAATGTGGTCAAAGCTACGGAATCACATAGAGAAAAAGCACAAAGATCACAAGAGAGTTTGCCAGGCCTTGAAAATGAGAAAGAAGGAAAGGGATTTAGTATTTGATGCATTCAGAAAAGAGGGCATATTGGAACTGAACAAGATAAGATTGAGGAAAAATCCAGATAATCCAGTGCTTGAGAGAGAAAGGAGGAATGATTCAAAGACAAAGGGTAAACTGGTCATTTGTCATCTGTGCAAAGCATTCATAGAAAAACGTTACATATCAAGACATGAAAAAAAACATGCCCAAACCTCCGATGCAGCTTGTGAAGTAACTCCTATCCCTGCTGAGATGATGTCTGTGGTAGATGAAGCTAATGGAGGGGAATTCATGAAGGAAATAATATCCAAATTTAGAGAGGGTGAGGATAGAGATGTTTATGACATATGCACAAAAGATCCTATCCTACTTGAAGTGGGAAAAAAGATGTTCAACAAACAGAGAAGGAAGGTAGACAAAAAGAGTGAAGTAAAAAAATCAGTGATGGCTGATATGCGAAGATTGGCCAATCTTCATTCAAAAATGAACATGGCAGAACAAGCCATTGGGAGTCTCCCAGACAAAAGTGGGAATATCTGTGATTTGTTCAAGAGGAAAAATTTCCGTCACCTGGAAGAGGCAATTGATGCTTATACGAAGGTGGAGAGTTCGGAGGGTGTAGGTGTGAAGGCAGGCCTAAAACTTGCTCTTTATTACCTGCTCAAACGAACCAGTAAAATACTGAGAGGGATGTTTCTTATTGATGACGAGGATGATAAGGCCAACGATATCGCAAAGTGGGTGACAGTGTTCGAAACGAGTAAAGATATGATTTTTGGTGATGCTGAGTACAGTTTGAGCAAGACTCGCGAAGAGAAGCTTCGGCGACCGGAACAACAGCCAGAGGAAGAAGACCTACGGAAAGTTAGAGACTACACAGTGAAGAAGATAAATGAGCTTGGTGTCAGAGAGAATATTGATGTTCATGAGTTTATAGAACTAAGGAATTGTGTTGTAAGTCGTTTAACACTCTTCAATGCTAGGCGGGGTGGTGAGCCCAGTCGTCTCACTGTAAAAGCATGGGAAGACGCAGATCGTGGAGTCTGGTTGGATCGAAGACATCTTGACGAGCTTGATGCACTGGAGAAGACCTTAATTGATTCCTTGAAAATAGGCTACCAGACAGGGAAGGGTAATCATCATCTGGTGCCAATCCTATTCCCCCAAGATTGTGTTGTAGGTCTCAAAAAACTTGCAGACAAGGATGTTAGAAGGGCATGTGGCATTGCTGAGAGCAATAAGTACCTTTTTCCAAGCATAAGCAAATCCGCTGAGCATGTTTCGGGCTGGCATGCCGTAAAGTATATCTGCGGTAAGGTAGAGTTGAAGAATGAAGAGAGGATCACAGCCACAAGAAATAGACACAGGATCTCTACAGAGTTTGCCCTCATGGATGTGCCTGAAGCGGATCGAGGCTATATATATAAGCACCTCGGACACTCGGAGGATGTTAACCAAAATATCTACCAAGCACCTCTGGCAATTAAAGCTGTTACAGTTGTGGGAAGGAGGTTGGCAGCTCTGGACAGAGGAGGTAAGTTGCCCTTTATTTCACCTAAACTCTATTTCTGAAAGTGTCGTCATGGAGTGGATTTGACTCATCTTTTGATCAGAAGATTGTGTATTTGATTCTCACTCTATAATGCCAGTTTCATTCAGCAAGAAATGTATCCACACTGTGCTGTAGTGAGTCTGAATTAATTTTCTGCTAACTTTGTGAAAAGCACACTTTCAACAAGCTTTTTCGCCCAGATTAAGTGCAAAAAAAAAATAACTACGAGAGCCCATCATCTATGACCATCTGTGTACATGTATATGTCAAAGTGCTGCAAATAGAGGCCAAAGTCTGTGAATGTTGGAGATCAGAAAGAAGATTATTGTTGTTCAATATTTGAAATACATACTCATGTCAATTTCTTTTAGTGATGATATGAAGACTATAGAACCCCCCAAAATGCACCATCCCATTTTTCATAATTTGTTGTAATTAATGAATGGGTATATTTTATGCCTCCGTTACGAAGTAGAGGCATTATGTGACGTACGTACGTCTGTACGTACGTACGTACGTCCCGTTCTCGTGAATCCCGATTGATGGATTCCTGCCAAACTTTGGTCATGTATGTATCTTGCAGAGCCGATGAACTGATTAGATTACGATGTCAAAGGTCAAAGGTCACAGTCATTATGTATGCAAAAACAGCTCGTGATCGCGTTATCTGAAGAACCGATTGATGGATTCCTGCCAAACTTTGGTCATGTATGTATCTTGCAGAGTCATGATTAGATTTTGGGGTCATGACATCACAGGGCTCATTATGTATGCAAAAACAGCTCGTGATCGCGTTATCTCAAGAACCGAGTAATGGATTGCTGCCAAACTTAGGTCATGTATGTACTTGCAGAACCGATGAAGTGATTAGATTTTGGGGTCACGAGGTCAAAGGTCAAAGGCTACAGCGCACATTATGTATGCAAAAACAGCTCGTGATTGCGTTATCTCAAGAACCGATTGATGGATTGCTGCTAAACTTAGGTCATGTATGTTACTTGCAGAGCAGATGAACTGATTAGATTTTGGGGTCATGAGGTCAAGGTCAAAGGCCACAACGCACATTATGTATGCAGCTCGTGATCGCGTTCTCAAGAACGATTGATGGATTCCTGCCATTAGGTCATGTATGTTACTTGCAGAGCCAATGAACTGAGTAGATCATAAGATCAAAGGTCAAGGTCATGCTCATTATGTATGCATAGCTTGTGAACACATCTCATTAGAACTGACAGATGGATTACTATTCAGGACATCTTGCAGAGCCATGATGAGTAGATTTAGGGTCATGAGGTCAAAGATCATCATATATGTATATGAGACTTGTAATCACGATATTCTGAGAACCTGTTAATGGATTACAATTGAACTGAATTCCGTTAAAATTGCTCTATGACGGAGGCATCCGACTGCGCGCAGTCGATTATGTTTATCATAGAATCAGAAGAACGATGATGTCCGGTATGTACAGAGCGTCCATCATATGTAACAATGCCTCCGTTACGTAGCCGTTACCGTCCGTCCGTCCGTCCGTACGTCCGTACGTCCGTACGTCCGTACGTACGTCCCGTCCGTACGTCCCGTTCTCGTGATCGCGTTATCTGGAGAACCGATTAATGGATTCCTACCAAACTTTGGTCATGTATGTATCTTGCAGGGCCGATGAACTGATTAGATTTTGGGGTCACGAGGTCAAAGGTCAAAGGTCACAGGGCGCATTATATATGCAAAAACAGCTCGTGATCGCGTTATCTCAAGAACCGATTGATGGATTCCTGCCAAACTTTGGTCATGTATGTATCTTGCAGAGCCCATGAACTGATTAGATTTTGGGGTCACGAGGTCAAAGTTCAAAGGTCACAGGGCTCATTATGTATGCAAAAACAGCTCGTGATCGCGTTATCTCAAGAACCGATTGATGGATTCCTGCCAAACTTTGGTCATGTATGTATCTTGCAGAGCCCATGAACTGATTAGATTTTGGGGTCACGAGGTCAAAGTTCAAAGGTCACAGGGCTCATTATGTATGCAAAAACAGCTCGTGATCGCGTTATCTCAAGAACCGATTGATGGATTCCTGCCAAACTTTGGTCATGTATGTATCTTGCAGAGCCCATGAACTGATTAGATTTTGGGGTCACGAGGTCAAAGTTCAAAGGTCACAGGGCTCATTATGTATGCAAAAACAGCTCGTGATCGCGTTATCTCAAGAACCGATTGATGGATTCCTGCCAAACTTTGGTCATGTATGTATCTTGCAGAGCCGATGAACTGATTAGATTTGGGGGTCACGAGGTCAAAGGTCACAGGGCTCATTATGTATGCAAAAACAGCTTGTGATCGCGTTATCTCAAGAACTGATTGTTGGATTCCTGCCAAACTTAGGTCATGTATGTTACTCGCAGAGCCGATGAACTGATTAGATTTTGGGGTCATGAGGTCAAGGTCAAAGGTCATGCGGCTCATTATGTATGCAAATAGCTTGTGATCGCATTATCATTTGAACAGATTGATGGATTCCTGCCAAACTTAGATCATGTATGTATCTTGCTTATCTTCCAATGAACTGAGTAGATTCTTGGGTCATGAGATCAAAGATCAAAGGGTCATATATGTATATGAGAAATTGGTTGTAATCACGATATTCTGAGAACCTGTTAATGGATTACAAGAAACTTGAATTTGAAAAATTTCTTCTGTTTTGGTTTGTAAACTTGCTCTATGACGGAGGCATCTTTCTTGACTGCGCGCAGTCAAAGTTCCATCTAGTTTATCATATCAAAGGGAAAGTATTCTCATAGAACTAAAGAGCACCCCCAATAGGAATCAGTGCATAAGAGTAAGTTTTGATAAATGGACCCTATGCCTTTTTTACACAACGATCAACGATATATATTTCAGTAAATTAGCCTATAATGGGGTTTGTATCAGAACCCAGGTCGAAATTCCATTAGGATCCGATCCTATTGGACCATCAGAAACCATTAGAGCTATTGGTGTCTAATGGTTTCAATAGGGAAAGTGAAATGATGGACCCACAGAAACCATTAGAAAATATCTATTGGACCAACACAAACCCACAGAAGAAATGCTGATGGACCAACAGAAAGCTTCTATTGGACCAGCATCCACCCATGTCTTCTATGGGTTTCTTGGTCCATTAGATATTTTCTTCTATGATGGGTTTCTGTTGGTCCATTAGATATTTTCTATGGGTTCCTGTTGGTCCACTAGAGATCTTTCAATGGGTTCCTAATGCTCCCATGTTCCGAATTCCCTATTGAAACCAATAGTCCAATGGCTTCTATTGGTAAATCAATAATGATCAATCAGAATCGATTTTAGCAACTGTCCACCAAAAAAAAGTATATTCTAATCTCAATTGCATCAACTCCATCACATAGATCACTTGGAGTGAGTATTAGATTATCCTTTATTTTGACTGAATGCTTCTACTATTCTATATAATAAACATACATGAATTGTTTCTTGGTTAGTGTTTTATAGTAATCATTATAATCAATATATCTATTGCTAAAACGTGAATGAAATTGTAACATGATTAAACAAATAATCTATGAGTCATTAGTTGCCAAAAGAAAATAAAAATCATAAAATTGATGTACATTGTCATAAGTTGCTTGACAAATTATGATAAATGTAATTTTCTGTGAACACGTATAAAGTAATCATGAATATGCATGAGATAGATTTAGCTGTTGGTTTCTATTGGTTTCTATTGGACCTATTGGTTTCTATTGGTCCCATTGGGTTCTATTGGTCTCATTGGTTTTCTATTGGTCCTATCGGTCCTATTGGTCCTATTGGTCCTTTCGGTTCTATTGGTTTCTATTGGTCTTATTGGTTTATATTGGTCCTATTGGTCCTATTGGTCCTATTGGTTTATATTTGTCTTATTGGTTTCTATTGGTCCTATTGGTTTCTATTGGTCCTATTGGTTTCTATTTCTATTGGTTTCTATGGGTGCTATTGGTTTCTTTTGGTTTCTGATGGTTTGAATAGTCTCTATTGGATTCAATTCTATGGGTCCAACAGAAACCAATAGACTCCAACAGAAACCATTAGAGACCAATAGAATTTTTCTAATGGTCTCTATTGGTCTCTATGGGATTTTCGACCTGGGAAAACAGGGATGTTTGGAAGAGACATAATACTCACTTTGTTACTTGGTAATGAATTTATTGTAAGGATGTAAAGGATGCCAAATAAATTTGCAATCATTCAAGCGAGCATAAATCATAAGACTACGAGATCAGAATGTTGCATCCTGGGAGCGCTGACGGGAACAATATGGGTAGTTCAGGACTGAGATGGAGCTATTTCTGGGTCCTGGGAATACTGTAGCTTTAAAAGAATGAAGAACCAGAGAGCAGCTCTTTTTCCCCACCAATTAAAAAAAAAATTGGCAAACTGTGAGTTTATTATTGCATAAAGGTTACAGTTAACCTTGTATTAGTTGACCTTCTGTAAGTCGTCAAATAATCGCCCGTGGAAGCATTGTTTAGACCAGATTGTGCAAAATATGTGTTATTAGGTGATCCGCCATTCATTGGCGGAGAACCTCTTGATTTCGTCAGAATCTTTTTTATTATTATTTATTTCTGGTCACTTTTTTGTGACATAATTCATGCAAAAACGGCAATGTCAATCATCATGAAATTTCCCATAGTCATGTCCCATCATAAAATCTTGACGGGTCATCTGTTTTCATTGTGATCACCCATCCGTGACGTCATCTAGGCGCCATTTTGTAAAATCTTCTTATTGACCATATCTTCCTAACGGAACGTTATTTTTTGACCAAATTTGGCATACATTAACTTCAGGTCAAGGTTCAACTCTTCAACCTACGCGCATGCACGCGCGTCAAAATTGAAAAATGCTCCAAATGAATTTATTTTGAGTTTACTATACGTTTCAGGCCATTTTGAGCATTTAAAAAAATTCAGCGCGTGCGCGTCTGCGCGCGCGTTTTTTCGCGTGTAGCACGTACGGAACGTGGAAACGCCGTTTTTTTACATGTTTTGGGTTCCTAATACTATTGTCAACAATTTTAACTAATTTCCAGTCCTTCTTGACCTATAATAACGTAATATGCGCGCGCTAAACCTCAAAATCCGCGCGCGCGAAAATATGCCAAAAATTGAAAAAATTGTAAAAAAAAGGCAAATTTTGAATTCGCTGTAACTTTTCAGAATGCCATGTGACCTCCATTTTTATTTCATATTCTGAAAGGGCATGAGTTGTAGATTCCATTTCATGCATCATTTTGGGTCACCGGATGTTGTGACATCATCATATTGCCATCTGAAGTAAGAAAATTGATTTTTGATTTTTTACATTACATTTGACAATGTTCTTTTGACTGTCCCAAATTTCAATATGTTGTAGCTGAGAATGTTATCTACAAGTAACGTGACATTTATTTTTCATTTACATGATGGGATCATGGTCAAATTTTTGATTAAAGGTGAAAAGTCCGAATCTGCAACATGTACGTGTTATGTCTATGGAGGGTGATTTTTTTTTCTAAGTCACAATTTGCATAGTCTTTCTTTTTACTTTTCTCAGTTGTTTATACCAAAATTTGATATGTTGTAGCTGAGACTGTACGCTACGAGAAATGTTATTTTTGATTTAGATTATGGGATCATGGTGAAAAAATTCGAATTAACGTGTGAATTCAGAATCGGTCATAGACTTTTTCAGATATACGTGTTATGTCTATGTGGAAGCGCCGTGGTATATTGGTGTTGACACTCGACTCTCGTCTTTGTGGCCCGGGTTCGAATCCGCTGAAGGATTTTGTTTTTTTGTTTTTTGGTGGGCAATTTAAATAAGTTTTGCATTTAATAATTCTTTCATATTTGTTAGTATCGTCTCAAAACGTTTATCATTTGTTAACACATTGCACTTTAAAGTTTGTGTACAAAGCCTATGACAAGTTAATTATCAAAAAAAAATCATAATAAATACATAACGTTACCAATCATGCCCAAGTTTCCAGAGCTGTACTGGGTTATTAAAGACATTCATATTTGTTTATTCTCATTTCCAGACGTTTATCATTTATTGAAATATTGCACTTCAAAATTTGTGTACAAAGCCTATGGCAAATGAATTATTCTAAAAAAAATCATCTCTTAAGTCTTTAATCATTTCCAAACTTCATATTCAAGATTTTTGCTGCTATTTTTGTTGCAATTTTTTTTTCTCAATTACATCGTAACTTCCTGCGTCATCTATTAAAATCATGGCGGATCACCTAATTCATCTCAAGTGACGAATTCATGTCTAGTTTACCTCTTAGAAGTAGAATTTCTCAGATTTCTGTGGTCCCAAGGGATTTGACTTAGGCATGCAAATTTAACTGTATTTACATGTGTATATATATATATGCACATACATACTGTACATGTACATCTTTGGGAAAATATTATATTTCCCCTTAATCCGACTTAGGGGAAAATATTATATTTCCCCTTAACCCAATTAGGGGAAAATATTATATTTCCCCCTAACCCGAATTAGGGGGAAATTTTATATTTCCCCTTAACCCGAATTAGGCCTGGCTAATTTGGTAGATGATATCGGGGGGGGGCTCCATGCCTCCTTGAGATCTGGGCCGTCGACTGCACGATCGCGACGAGGAATTGGAATGCACGTCATCCGTTTTGTGAAGAATAATGTTTATTAATTATGCTAATTTATGTGTAATTTATGCATGGAATCAGACTTTTTGCTCCTAATCAATAAATAAAGTTCCAAATATACTAATTTGTGGTATAGTTACTCTTTTTAGTGTTCTTAGCAAATATACTTCAAAAACATGATATCAAAATTAATTTCTTATGTTTTTGACCTTTTTGTCTGTTATTGTTTTTCGATGAAAATTGTCGGCTACACTTGTGCGATCATAAACAGCATGTTATCAATTAATTTTAATCGTTAGAAGCAAAAATAATCATACATTTATGAGTTTTGGCTGAAAGCACAATTTGTATTGAAATCCTGCATGAAATCATGCTTTTTAGCCATTTTTGGTTAACGTGCATGTATAAACTTATGTGTAACTTCAGAACCACCTACCTGGGCGTTGCAATGTTGTTCAAAACAGATGCGCTAGACCCAAAAGAAAAAAGTCGTGAAACGTCGCCGCGAGTTTTCGCGATGCAGACTTGTTCCGCAAAGCATCAAGGGGGTACCTGGAAGGTTTAATACATTGTCACTGCTTTCTCTCACCTTGTCTTTACCCCATCTTACATGCTGCTCCTTATCTTTTGCTTCTATGCTTATTGTACTTGTTTGTAGGAGGGATGAATCAGGAGGAGGAAGGAGGGATGAATCAGGAGGAGGAAGGAGGGATGAATCAGGAGGAGGAAGGAGTGATGAATCAGGAGGAGGAAGGAGTGATGAATCAGGAGGAGGAAGGAGGGATGAATCAGGAGGAAGGAGGGATGAATCAGGAGGAAGAAGGGACGAAGCAGGAGGAGGAAAAGGACCATATTGCGTATTCAGGTATGTCTTAGTACATACATGTATGTTATTTTTAAAAGGAACCAAAGATCTTCACTTTACGCAGGACACATATTATGCATAACATTATTTACCAATTCACTTTTTTGTTTTTTGTTTGTAGTCTTGACAGATGATTCAAAATTGGCAGTACACCTAACATTATTTTGCCAACTGCAATGTTTGTTAGCCACTTTACTTGTCTTGGATTTGGAGCACTTATTCCTTACAAAATCAATACATGTGCACATGGCCCGAATTATCAGTCTGGTATCAAATTGGAAGCTCCCTAATGACGTTTGGCTGGTGCATTGTTCGTTTATCTATGATACCCTCGTAATAGGGAACTTCAGATCTGCCATGGTTATGATGCTGGCAAATATTGAAAACAAAAAATATATATTTTGCTCTGATATAAATTATATTTCCCTCATCGATTTTCTTTCTATTTCTCTTTTCTTTATAGGTCGGGGGTACACCCACTGGGAAACTTCCTCCAAAAAATTGGTATGCAACTACTTCGAGCAGTACCTGCTAAGAGATACGAGAAAGAAGTTACCTGGTATGTGTCGTGCTATTCACAAAAGGGTACATGCAAGGACTTTTTAAAGTGAAAAGAGATATAAAGTAGAAGGAATGTCATAAACTTCCCAGGGCTCTTTGTTTTTCTGGAGAGCTTAGAACCCTTGCAATTGTAAAACATAAAATGCTTATGATGTAAATGAGTAGTTTGACCTCTTGTTCCTGATTTTTGTCTCGCCTGCGAAGCAGATGCGGGACATAGGCGTCGCTATTTCCGGCGACGGCGGCGTTGTCAACATTTCAGGTTAAAGTTTGCTTGGTCAAATTCCTATGGCTTGAATTCCAATACCGTGCCACCAATGGTCTTGAAACTGGATTCAAATGATTCGGTAGAGTGTTCTCTTTCATATCCATCCCCATACTCTGTGTTTCGTCCAGGAATAGGGATTTTATAACCATTTAAACTTGGTTAAGTTTTGGTTAAAGTTTCAGGCCAGTGTCTGTTGCAGGTTAAAGTTTGCATGGTTAAGTTCAGATGTCTATAATTTCAATACCGTGTGACCAATTGTCTTGAAACCTAATTTAAATGATTCAGTAGAGTGTCTTCTTTCATATGCACCCCCATGCTCTGCGTTTTGTCAAGGAATAGGAATTTTATAATCTTTTAAACATAGTTAAAGTTTTGGTTAAAGTTTCAGGAGTGTCGTGTATACACAATATACATACTGTACATATACTGTGTACTGTATGTACTGGACAGACATTATGGAAATGTTGAAGTTTTGGTTTCTTCCATAACTTCAGGTAGGAAATTTCAGTAGTGTTATAGTTTCATATGAATGTTATGTGTAAACAATATTACCCTTTTCTGAAGTCCATTAGAGTTAAAGGTCAAAGGTCAATGAACTTTGCATAATGTTTGCATTTTCATGTACAACTTCAACTAGGATTATTTACTGGTGACAATGTTTTGTAGGATGGTTACCCTTTTGCAGTCTGCAGTTAAGACTGTGAGGTAACCACTGTTAAAGGTCAAAGGTCAAGGGTCAATGAACTTCAGCATTTTCATGTACAACTTTAACTTATTAAACTCTTAAATAGGCAACTCCTTGATGTCACAACCTGGACAACTTTTAATTGCTCATTTGTAAAGTCTGCCATCAATTTGGATCAAACTTGGTGGTAATTAATGACCCTTGGGTATAGGAACATATATGGTGCATACAGATATGCTTACATACAACTTTATGCATAATTATGCATAAATATGCATACATGTGCATATATATGCAATGTACTTGCATGCATTTACATGTACATGCGCATGAATATGCATATATATGCAGTTTGAGTGTCAAGTTGTACATGTATGTAAGCAGATCTGTAGGAGGATGGGGTCTTTAGAAGGCATCTAGGTCTCAAAATGCTAATTGTTCAAAATCCTTTTTTGGGGGTGAAATTTTCCACGTTTTATTGACCACGAAATCGGGCGAGACTCGTGGTTCGAGAACCATCTTGTTTTCATTTAACTGCAAAGCCTTAGAGAATTATTTGACTCTAATGCATATCTATATGGTTGCAACATCAAGGATAGTGGTCTACAGTCATTTAAAGGGGAATCCAACCCATATGGCAAGTTCTAAAACAAAAAAGAAATTTCAGAGAAGCAGATTGGTGAAAGTTTGAACAAAATCGGACAAACAATAAGAAAGTTATACATTTTTGAAAGTTGTTAGCACTATACATATTGGAATTTCAAGTTGGCCGAATTGGGAAACAAAGAATAACTTAAAGATGAAAAAATAAAAAGAGAGAATTACAGACACAGAGAATATTATAGGCCTAATGGAAAATTGCACTGATTGGAGAAAAAATAAAGAATTACATTGATGAAAGGAAGAGGATAGAGTGATTTGTTTTTCCTTCAATCCATCATCTTCATTTTGATGATGTATTTCTTTGTTTTCCCATCATAAATGCTTGCTTGATGTAATTTCTTGGTTGTCCTTCATTTTATCGTCCCTTTCTTGATGTATTCCTTTGTTTTCCCATCACTCTTTCTTTTGGCAATGCATATTTCTTTTTTTGTTTATCTTCAATCATTGCAATTTTCCATTCGTCTTGTAGTACTCTTTGTGTCTGGATTTCTCTCTTTTCCTTTTTTCTTTTATAAGTTTTTCTTTGTTTTCCATAATTTATCTTCTCTTTCTATATTTCCATCATTCCTAGTAATTGCCAACCTATTAAAAGTAATACACAGTGTTGGCCAAGGTCACGGATTTTGATTAAATGTGTTTTTCTTGGTGCATCTAGATGATCTAAGACCAAATCGATTATCAATTTTCTTCAAATAGCCTTGGAAGCTGTAAAAGGACAAGTACATTCGACGATATCTGTCCGGCCAGACAAATCTGTTTTCCCCTTTAAAAACAGTGTTCTCCTTCAAAAATTCCCAACTTTTCTTTATTTTGAGATGTATCAACATAAAAAGAACCTTACCTGTGATTTGTAAGATCAGAAACACTTTTATCCGTGAGATATTCAGCATCAAGCGAATTAGCCGTATTCATCGGGTACCCGATAAATCCCAAAAATCAACACTAAACATGTGATTTCTCGAAAATGGAGGCATTTCAGAGTGAACTTTTACGGAGTTGTGTTCTACCCTCATAAGTGTATCAAAAAATAAGAAAGTGAAGGAAATCTATTTTTTTACCCCTTCGTCTTTTACCAACACTGCGCAATACCTTTAAGTTTCATTCCTCATTTTATTTTCATATGTCAGTCTAGAAAATCCTTTAAAATCTTTAATTTTTGTCTCGCCTGCGAAGCAGAAGCGAGACCATAGGCGTCACTATTTCCGGCGGCGGCGACGGCGGCGTTGTCAACATTTCAGGTTTAAGTTTGATTGGTCAAATTCCTATGGCTTGAATTCCAATACCGTGCAACCAATGGTCTTGAAACTGGATTCAAATGATTTGGTAGAGTGTTCTCTTGTATATGCATCCCCATACTCTGTGTTTCGTCCAGGAATAGGGATTTTATAACCTTTTAGACTTGGTTAAGTTTTGATTAAAGTTTCAGGCCAGTGTCTGTTGCAGGTTAAAGTTTGCATGGTTAAGTTCAGATGTCTATAATTCCAATACCCTGTGACCAATTGTCTTGAAACCTAATTCAAATGATTCAGTAGAGTGTCCTCTTTCATATGCACCCCCATGCTCTGCGTTTTGTCAAGGAATAGGGATTTTATAATCTTTTAAACTTAGTTAAAGTTTTGGTTAAAGTTTCAGGCCAGTGTCCTGTATACACAATATATACTGTACATATACTGTATGTACTGTACAGACATTATGGAAATGTTGAAGTTTTGGTTTCTTCCATAACTTCAGGTAGGAGAGCTCAGTAGTGTTATAGTTTCATATGAATGTTATGTAAAGAATATTATCCTTTTCTGAAGTCCATTATAGTCAAGGGTCAATGAACTTTTTCATGTACAACTTCAACTTATTGTCATACTCTTAAATTGGCAACTCCTTGATGTCACAACCTGGACAAATTTTCATTGGCTTTATACACAATTTTTTTACACATTTTGAAACTATGAAACGGGCTCCGTACGTGTGTCTGTGTGTCTGTCTGTCTGTGTGTCTGTGTGTGTACAAAATGTTAAATTAGGCTTCTTCTCCCTCATTTCTGGACCGATTTTGATTCTGATTGTTTTATCTCATAGGGCTAGGTGCGGGGTTCAAAAATTCTACACAGAATTTTGAAATTCATTAATTATGCTAATTTACGTAAATTTATTCAAATTCACAAAAAATGCTTCTTCTCCTTCATTTCTTGACCGATTTTGAATCTGATTGTTTTAATTGATAGAGCTTAGATGGCTACACAAAACTTGTACACAGAATTGTGAAATTTTACTCCATTCATTAAATATCATAATTTATGTAAATTTATTCATAATTCACAAAAAATGCTTCTCCCTCATTTCTCGACCGATTTTGATTCTGATTGTTTTATCTCATAGGGCTAGGTGCAGGGTTCAAAACTTCTACACAGAATTTTGAAATTCATTAATTATGTTAATTTATGCAAATTTATTCAAATTCACAAAAAATGCTTCTTCATTTCTTGACCTAATTCTCATTATAATTGTTTTATTTGGTAGAGCTTCGTTGGCTACACAAAACTTGTACACATAATTTTGAAATTTTACTCCAGTAATTATAGCTTATGTAAATTTATTCATAATTCACAAAACATGCTTCTTCTCCCTCATTTCTCGACCGATTTTGATTCTGATTGTTTTATCTCATAGGGCTAGGTGCAGGGTTGAAAAGTTGTACACAGAATTTTGAAATTCATTAATTAGGTTAATTTATGCAAATTTATTCAAATGCATACATACATGTATATGCAGTTTGAGTGTCAAGTTGTACATGTATGTAAGCAGATCTGTAGGAGGATGGGGTCAAAGGAATCTAGGGCTCAAAATGCTAATTGTTTAAAATCCTTTTTTGGGGGGTAAAATTTTCCACGTTCTATTGACCACGAAATCGGGCGAGACTCGTGGTTCGTGAACCGCCTTGTTCTGTATTATGTCAGCCTTAGTTCTTGTCTTCTTTCTTTTCATCATTGACAAAAACAAAACAATCGCAACTTTAACTTCTTTTTAAAACAAATTTCCCCTCGCACGGCCCCCTTTGAAGACAGCCATAAAAAAAATGGTTAAGAGCAGTTGATAATTTAAATTAAGATTTTTTTCCCAGCGTGTTTGGCCCATTGCAGACACCATTACAAAAAAATTAGCTGCACAAGCCAAAACACAGGTGTTTTCGAGTGCGACGTGACCCAAGTCTTTGGTAAAAGCCTGTGAGAAGGATCGTTAAGGATATCCAATGTCAAAGGGTGGTCAAACTGCCTTTCATGCCTTGTGTGTGTAATTTCAAGAAGAGCCAGAAGAAATATTTTCAGTGGTTTCATTTTTGAAATACACAGACTAGAAATTGCTGGAACAAAAAAGAAGTACATTATAATTATTTTGTGCTTTAGAGAGGACAAAAAATCAAACTTTGTTTCATCATCATCGCTCTGTTTTTTTTAAATCTAGTTATTTTTGTTTACATTGCTCAATGCTTTTTCATGTGTTTTCCCTTTCATTTTCTTTTGTAGGTAAGAGAGAGGTTCACCAGTTCTTGGCAGCATATCCTGATTTCAAGATTAGAAACTTCAAAGTCATCAGAAGCAAGGTCATGAATGAAAAATCAAAAGAGATCGCTTGGTAAAAAAAATGGAAAGCAACCAGTAGGAAATTATTCTCTAATGCACCGGGTGAACTTTTTCATTCTTTAGTTTGCCACACACAGCGATTTCTTGATATACAAGTATTTCGCTTCTACCAAACTTAAAAATGATTGGGGCGAGCTTTCGTCTGCTCCTGCAGACTTCCTCATGTCAACTGATTTGTCACACAGTTGCTGTCTTGGCGATCACTGGAGCGAAGATAGGTGACAATGCGTACCCAGTGTCCCTATTGAGTGCTGGATTAATGCTTTTTATCTAGATAGACTCTTTGACCTTCCTTGGCCAGAAATAAGATTCAAAGTCTATGATCTGTGTATCATCCCAGCGAATGTTATGTCCAGTATTGAGGGCGTGTTCCGGCCACTGCTGAGTGGGTTGGATTGTTTAATCTGAGGGCCCTTTTGTGTTCTTTTAATCGGTCATTCAGTGTTCTTCCTGTTTCACCCACATAAGAACTTTCTGTCAGTGCACTCCAGAGCCCTTTATACACAGAGTTTGGCCAACTTGATAACAGGCACCATGTTGTAACCCTTGGCGCTGATGCACCGCACCGTGCGCACGGGCGGGCTTATGGTATACACACAATATAGCTTACACTACTAGCCCTCAAACTGATTGATATTTTCTGTTGCAGAAGAGTCATGTTATGGGAAGTCTCAGATTCTTGGCATTTCTTCTCTTTCCTTCATGTAGTAGACTATAATTTTAATGAGTTTAGGCCCAATAGGAATAGGCCCTAGTATTAAGCGTAACCATCTCTCTCCTTTTCATTAATTTCTCGTTTTTTTTTCTAACTATATATGCCTGTGTGTCTCTTTAGCTGCCCCTACATGTATACCTCCATAGGGTCTTCACATATGAAATTGAAGCGTTTTCAACTCCCAATGAGTGATTTGGAGTTTGCTGGCATTTTAGATTGATCTTTCAGTATGTTCTTCAAATTTATGTATACATACATTGTCTGTTGTGTTTTAGCACTGCAAGAGTATTTATCATGAATTCAGGCTAACTCCGGTCTGACCAAAACATTTTAGTATTGATGTGTACCAAGAGGGGAGGAGGCCCTTGAAAGGTATAAGCCCTGATATGTTTGCCAGTACATAGTTTCGGTATGCCCCCCCCCCCTTTCCATTGTATGATGTAAGAATGATGTCACAAAACATGCCCAATTACCAAATTTTATCCACTTGCTACAGGTGAAAATTACAATTTTTTTAAAATCATCTGTTTTTAATAGGGCACACCAATATAATGATCATAACTAATATTAATGATTTATACATGTATATTGATTTATCCATTCGATTATTTATGTTTATGTTTCAATCCACTATGCATAGTGCCACTCAAAATATGTATTAATATACGTATTTAAAATAACAGCTTTTCCATGTAATCAAACATACCTACTGTATGTTTTAACAGCACTTCCATTACCCACTTCTTCACACATTGTTTTTTAATTCTCCTATACAGTGTGAGTAAAAAAAAGAAGGAAACCCAACTTCGGTAGCTTCTTATGATAATATTATAACATATATGGAACCTTGCAATTTATTTCATTGTAAAGAGTAACTTTACTGTCTACTGATACCTTATTCATACTTTTCCTGCCACGGATGACTGAGCACCAGGAGTTTCAAAAAGCTTTGTCAAAATCGCCTTGTATCAAGTTTGGGCTTAAGCAATACGTGTGCGTCAAAAGCTACTATGGATTTGTTATTGGAGTCTTGAAATAATGGCTAAGCTTTTTAAATTGATTTTGTGTATTTGACTAGAAAAGGTGTTGATTTGAACTTTAAATGAAAGAATATCCTTATTACAAGCAATATTTAAGATATCTTTGTTGTCATTAAGACACAATCTTGGTTTCCTCAACATTCCTCGTATGTAAGAGTTTCTTTATTGAGTGTGTCAGCTTCAGAATGTTGGTAGTGAAGAAGCTTTCTTTCAAATGAAGTAAAAACACAGTTCAAAACACTAGCATATGTGTTCTAAACAGGCCTTCCTTGTATTTTTTTAGTCTTTTAGGTTAGTTAACTATTAATTTAATGTAGATTGTGAGCTAGATAACTTATTCAGCTAAGTTGGTGCAATCGACCAATAAACAGATGGTTTTGTGGCAAGATAACATTCTAAGATAAGAGGTTTGTAGGCAGTTCAAAGTGCATCCACAGCCAATGAAACCTAAAATAAAATCCCTGTGAAAGTCTAGATACTTAAAATCACTTAACTCTGAATAATTGAAACACAAAACATATTTTATCATTTAAAAACGATTTCAGACAAAGTAACATGTGATTAGAAGCCTTTGACACACACCCATTGCTTAAGGTCAAACTTGGTACAGGCGATTTTGACCCCCCAAAAATTGAAAATCTTAGTGCTCAGTCATCCGTGACAGAAACATCATAAATGAGGTATCGGTAGACAGAGTGAAGGTTATTCTTTACAATTAGATACATCTCAAGGTTTCATATGTTATAATATTTTTATAAGAAGCTACTAAAGTTAGGTTCCTTTTTTTTTACTCACAGTGTATAGGATACACCAATGCATGCTCATTATCACTTTTGTTGTTACACTGTGTATGTTTATGTTTTGATTCACTATACATGGTGTTAATAAATTTCTGATGCAATATACGCAATTTAAAGAAAACGATCATTGGTTTATTGAAACTAAAATATTGAGTAATTTTACTGTCCAAAACATACATACTGTAAGTGCTACAACAGCACACCAATAAACCATTATTTCACATACACTTTTTATACGCCGAAGGGTCGTATTATGGTATGACGTCCGTCCGTCCGTCCGTTAGCCAATTCTTGTGTAGATAACTCCTCATTCATTGTTTAACGAAATTTCTTCAAACTTGCATGGATGGATGATATTGATGTGTAGATGTGCGTAAAGATGATATAACTTGGGTACGCCAAGGCGTTGCCATGGTAACCACATTTTACTAAAAAATTGAAAAATTCTTGTGCGGATAATTCCTCATTTACTTTTTAATTAAATTTCTTCAAATTTGCATGGATGGATGATATTGATGTGTAGATGTGCATAAAGGTGATATAACTTGGGTACGACAAGGCATTGCCATGGTAACCACATTTTACTAAAAAAATATTGAAAAATTCTTGTGTGGATAACTCATTTACTTTGTAATGAAATTTCCTCAAACTTGCATGGTTGGATGATATTGATGTGTAGATGTGCATAAAGGTGAAACTTCGGGCGTATAATGCTCCGACTTGCGGTGCTCTTGTTTAAAGATCTTTTTGATATTCTATATGACACACCAATTTATTATATTACTTATTTCGTATATTTTTTGTTAATTTCTTCAATTTGAATATCTGTATCTGTAAATGCATCGTCATTTGGGCTTGCTGCTATGATTTTATTTATTTATCTATCTTTCCTTACATGAAGAACAAGATATTTTTAATTGTTTATATGCATAGCACCAAGAAAATTATCAAACTGGTGACTCAATTGGAAAATTATTGTGGTTTGCATCAATTAATGTATTTTTGTGCATTCATAGAACACTTAGCAATCCTATGGATATTGAAATTTGGTGTGTGACAGCAAATTTCACGTAGTTTTGGATGCAGGTTTCTGAGACAGTAAAATTGGGAAGTTTGTAAGCAGGCCTGTTGTAAGCAGTGTAGGTCCACAAGTACAATCATGGGTCTGTAATAAACACTGTGACAAATGAAATGATATGCCTGTATTAATAACTGGAATAGCGAAAAGTGACATTTTTACTGTGGAGTCTCATATGTTGCTTTAGGAGTAAGGCCACCGCACACCTTACGACTGGTCTACGACTGGATTTTGAAAGATTGCAATTTGAAGAGAAATTGAGTTTCAATTTGAAAATTTTGTATCTGACTGAGGTCCAGAATGGTATATCAATATAATTATCGAAAATATATGTATTTGAAGTATTTCAGACAGAGAAAAGGCCAAATCTCCCAGTTACCAGTTGGTGGCCAGTCGTCCTGTGTGACGTCGCTACGATTCGCAGCCGATCGGGCCTTTTCTCCAACTGAAAAGCCATAACACCCTGCAATTTTTATATTGATATTGACATGACAATTCGGGACCTCAATCAGTAGGAATTTACATTCTAAAACATTCTATATCTAATCCTATCATAATTTCTTTCAAAATCCAGTCGTAGACCAGTCGTAAGGTGTGCGGTGGCCTTTAGGGCTTGTTGGATAGGATGTGTAAAATTCCTTCAGTATTGTAAGTGTTTTATAGATACAGCGCAACAAACCCCACACTTATGTTAATGAACCTGAATTAAATCACAATAAAAGGGATCTTTGTCAAAAAATTTGCAGACAAACTCATGACATCATTTTGCATTTACTTTTTAGGAATTTATTTGTTCCAAAGCTTTTTGAAGTCAGGCGCAACAAATTGTCTCCTGCCTCGCCAACATTTTTTTTTTTTTTTTTTTGGTCGCCTTATATTCCATTGACTTGTACATTAAAATTGTTTGGGTTTGTTGCGCCATATCTGAACAAACTTGAGATATGAGGGCTATGGTAATAAACTCAACAGCATGGATTAGAGCAGCGGGCAGGGCGTAGATATGTGACGTCACACT